CCACCACGAGTCAGGATTGCTAGTAGTAATGCATATTACTATATTAATCAGGTTTTTCTATATCAATAAGTATTACTATATTAATTAGAAAAGCCTACGGTTTTAGATAGTAGCGGCTCTGCCGCAACTAAAGCAATTAAATACAGTTTCGATTCTAAACAGAAGTGTTCGTTTGCTTTGGTTAAGGCTTTAAAACTGAGAAGTAGTGGAGAGCGATCCGCTACACTAGAACTGGCTCTTGTAAAGAACGTAAGGTTGGTGACCTTAGCTTAGCTTCCTCTAAGTAAAGAGCCACGGCAGCCCCGCTGCACTTGGTATCACTCGTAGAAAATCTACGCCTGAGTCGTAACGACTGATCCTCTGTGAGAATAGAGGAATACTCCTATTTTCCTCAGGGCATGCAGGACGAGCATAATAAGCTGATGTCACTGCTTGGGGCCTGAGGACGTGGAGCACCACGTTGCGCAAGTACCCGAGGCTATTAGCGCGCGCCTAGAGGCTTTTTCAAATTATGAAAATACTCTGTGAGAGCACTAACAGCAGAAGCTGTCAACGTCGACTGCTTCGATGACGCCACCGTGGATGATGTCTGATTCCTTCCGGTCCAGGCCGCTCATAGTGAGTGTTGAGACATCTGAGGGAAAGGATGGAGAGAGTCTCCATCTCTGGGTGAGAGAGGCCAAGATGGATATGGCATCTTCCATGGTTCAAAACGAGCAACAGCGCGTGCTGCTAGCTATCTCCAAGCTCAGAGGCTGAGCGCGAGAATGGGCACTAACGTGCGACGCTTCGGCTCAAGCTTTTTTTTTCTGGAAGGAGCTGAAGCGTTAGCTTCCACGAGTTTTCTCCCCGCCTAATCAGGCATGTCGCGTGAGATCGCGTTTCCATGCTGCTCGACAGGGCAAGAAGGGGTTGGTGGACTGTGTCCAAGAATGAGAACTCTTATTATCGGGGTGTCAGCAGATCCCTTCTCCGAGTGCGCATCCGTCTTCTTTTGGAGAAACAGTGAACGTGGCATTGAATGCCAAATTCAACTTTAAGTCGGCACGACTTGGTTGGAATGCACACCCTCAGATCTCGTCGAGGTAGGCTGAGCCAATAGAGCTCAGCTATGCTGAGAAAGAGGAGAGAGAGCTCCGAGCTGCTGGGCAGCGTGTAAATACCCGACGGTGTTTTGTTTGTGGAGACATCCGTCACCTTCGGAAGGGTTGTCCCTTGCGCAAGGTGCGTCAAACCGACGTCCCGCTTCATACTAGTCTGGTTTGAAGAGGGGTGAGGCACGCAGGGCCTCGGAGAGGTAGTGGGCAGCAGAGGCTAGCCCCTAAGAGCTGCGTGCTCTTAAACATAGAACGTGTGTGCAAGCCGGGCTTGCTTGTCGTAAAATTGACCGTGAAGGGCTTTGATAAGTCAGGAAAAATTCTTGTCGATTCTGGTGCGTCGGGCAATGATGCTCGACGTTCCACAATTTAAAAAGTATGCTGAGGCGCGCTGGAAGTGCGATTGAGTGACACCGTCACTATTCGCTTAGCGACGAGGACTTGTGTCACTGTCCCGAGGGTCCCTGTGGACCTTGATGTTACTTCGATAGCGTGGAACGCTGTCTAGGCTTAGACTTGGATGCAAGGTAAGACGTTATCCTTGGTAAGGCATGGTTGGAACTCCGCGAATTATGGATTGCTTGGAGGTGGAAGGCCTTGGGCGCTACGCGCACGTCTCCTTGTGGAGTTTTGGTGAGTCATGAGCCCACCTCCACTAGGAAGCAGAAACGCTATTGGCGCGGGCTCTGGACTGAGATTGCCAATGTGCTCGATATTGGTAAATCCGAGACGTCAAACACCAAAGGCGTATTTGATAAGAGTCCCAAGATGGCTCGCGGGCTGAACGTGGAGTGGCACGTAACCCACTGAGCACTGCTCAAGGTTTGGAGTAGTCGCTGCATGCCAAGAATGGCATGGTTGGACGAGGTTCGAGGTATCGAAGGTGAGGCCCTTCTGATGCACGTGGAGTGGCACATTATCCACTGGACGAAGACTGCGGAATTTGCAGCTCTTCGTCGGATGTTATTAATAACATCAAGGATCCGATGGAGCAGGAAGTGGGGACACTGGGCGACGCAGAGTGCGTATTCCCACTGGTCTCGATGAGACGTGAAACCGTTATAGAGAGGAGACGGCGAAGCCGTATATATCTACGAAACGCAGAGCGTCGACCCTGACCCAGGGTGTGTCAACCGTAGACGATAGTGCACAGCTATATGTCCTTGTCAAAGGTACAATAGGAGAGAAAGACGGTGGCGTCATCCTCGAGGCTGTTCCCGTAGTGGATGCTCTTCTTGAGCAGGACGAGATGTTATTCTTATAGTTTGGCGGTGTCTTGAAGGCAGAAAATTTAGCCGAGGTGGTCATTATATGACCAAACGAGGAGATTAACTTGTCGTCGCTTCTGGATGAAGCTGTCCTGGAGGACACTAAATAGGTGTTGAACGCACGAAGTGGTCCGTGATCCTGAAGGATTCCTCGGATCCCTACTATCCTTTGGTAAAGAAATTTCAAGACGTCGTCTCCAAAGACCCACCGTCGGTCCTACCTCCGGACCTTGGTGTGCGTCATGAGATCAACCTGGTTCCAGGAGCCAAGTACTGCGTAACACGCCAATGGCCCCTGTCCAAGGAGCAGTGTGAGGTCATAGACGCCTATTTCTGTGCGAAGCACGAGGCAGGGATGGTAGTGAAAGCTAGTCTTCCATTCAACACACACGTTTTGTGGTCGGAAATCGAACGGCAAGTGACGTATCGTTCACGCTTACAATAAGCAAGACGCTACCACCATTCCAGCACAGACGCCGAATTTTTCACGGAAGGATGTTCTCCAGAACAACATGGTTGGATGTACGTAGTACAGTGCACTCGATTTGGTCGATGGGCATCACCATTTGTTGATGAGAGCGAGTGATATTTCGCTACCAGCAGTGAATATTCCGAGCGACAAGCTCTGAGAGTGGCTGTTGATGCCCCTAGGCTGTCAAATGCACCAGCAACATTTGCTCGTCTTGTGACGGGCGCCACCGGGCGTATGCTCAGACATACTTCTACGACATCTTCGTCCTCAGTCGCGTGGCGCTGAGACTCCGATGCGCTGATGCGCCATGCTGCCCCTCGTATTGCTTGCTCTGAAAAATGCAGTGCATTTGTCTACAGGCTACACGCCATACCACATGATCTGTCTAGTTTATCATCGCGCCTCGCTGATGCCGCTACCCCATCGTTCAGGGCTTGGTGGGGGGCTATAGCCGATTGGCGAGCTGATGTCAGCCCTCTCACTGTTCGTAAAGCAGACGATGACTTCCTGTCTACTAGACTGAGTGTCTAACGACACGTTCGCCATGCGATGGCTGAAAGCAGCCAGGGGAGGTAGAGGAAATATTAAAGACTTTGAGGTCGAAGGCCTAGTTTTATTCAATGCGAAGATTTTCATGCAAATGCTTTTTCAGCTGTCTTTAAGACGAAGCAACGTCTACGGTTTATCGAACTTTTCAAGGTTGTGCCCAAGCGAGGCCTTGCGTATACGCTAGACTATTCGAAACGGATGCGCACCCACCTGGTATTTTATGTAGGCTTTCTTAGCTGTACCGGGACCTGGCGCAAGTGAACGCGGAAGCGTTGGCGCCGGAGCGGCGCCCACAGGCACTCGACCACCCATAAGCTGGACCAGCAACTGGTTTGGAGCACGGAGCGCTACGATCTCCATATTCCACGGCGCCAAGCACTCAATATTCGCCTGATGCGACGCATTAGTCTAGTCAACGGCTAGGATCTGCCCTAAAAGAGCACGATGGCCCTCAACGTTGGGCAGCCGGTGTACAACGTGCTCTAACCTCTCAATTTTATTCGCGCAGTGGTATGCGATCCCAGCATGACGCTCGGCGGAGTCCCAATCGCGATGAAAACTCGTCCCTAAGAGTTTGAATAACATCGCAAGTCACCGGACAGCGATTGACCCAGTCGTCTTCGTCAGCTGCCGACTCTTTTCGACAAGAATGGTGGCGTCCACTATCACGTGGAACGCCTTGTGGGTCGACGTCGTCGACAGGATCAAACCTTGTATCTTGTGAAGTGGCGGGAAAGTCCGACTTAAGAGCTCGTGGGGGTTTGAAGTGCCTCTATGGCAAGACTGCTTATATGTCGTTGACACTTATGATCATAAGATCTTTGACGCTCCGCGTCGCCGTACACTTTGCGCTTCGCGGCAATAGGCAGAGAAGCCGGAGCTGACCTAAACTATTGGCCTTGAGCTGCTGCGGTCGCAGGCTCACTCGTGTGAGAGGCCACAGAGCTCGCGGGAGCGTGACGGATCAACCCATACGTCGCAAGACGTGCGTAGAGTATGGCAAATTCAAACCGAAGATAGCGTTCCACGCGTGCGTCCACCTCCTTGCGGATCAACTGTATGTGATCAGCAAGGAAAGTTCGTCATCTGCAGTGGTTTCGCTAGGGCCGAGCACCACAGGAATCGCTCGCATCGCGGGCACAGGAGCCGGGATTTCATGAGTAACGAAGAAGCGAGCTTGGAGACTTTTTGTCCATCAAGTTTAGCTTGTGTAGTGGCCGGGGCCCGCTCACGTAGACGCCCAACGATCGAGTGATCACGTCCTTCGCTTCTGTAGCGGGATTCGCCGAGCGGAGGCTGTATCCTACACGAGGGCCAAGCACCCACCATGGATGCGCGCGCATGAGAGCCGCCCTGCGGACAGCATCCAGCTGCTGCTTCTGGGCCTCGTCAAGTCATTGATTATGACACCACTTCGCCGAAAGTACAGAGTCCGGGAAAATGACACGGCGCTCGCTAGATCCGAGCAGGGCTCACGTCGCACCGCTGGGGAGCCTCACCCTCTTCTTCTTCCCATCCTGGAAAAGGGGTATCCAGCTCGTGG